TTGTCAACTTACACCCTAAGACAAGTGTGAGCCTATGTAAAGTTATAAAAAACATTTAAGAACATAATATTTTCAAGAATACCACTTGTTCTTAGAATTACTCTTACGAAAATAGTTAAGAAAAGTAAATAAGATTCTTAAGATGTTATTTGAAGAATAATACTTTCTCATAACTTTTTTTTAAGAATGAAGTTAAGAAAAAACACACATTTAAGAAGATTTGCACTTTTGTGAATCTGGCCCCTGATGGTTTAAACAAAATCATCATCTTTGTTAATTTGCTCACGTGACACAAACCTCATTCTGTGATTTTACAAACAATTTCTCACTGCTTTGTTAAACCCTTACAGCTGGCGAGCACAAAGTTTTATTACACCGTTATAATCTAAGAATAGCTCAGCCAGTTTGCATTGAGGCCCCTATAGTTACTGAATAATAAGGTTTAGTATGTAATAAGCCTGGGATTAAAAAAAGGGTTAAAAAACAAACAACAGCCAAAGTATTTCTTTCTATTTCTACACATTTAAGAACACTTTCTGGGGGGCTGGCTTAATGGAGGTCTGATGAGGACAGCGTCCCTGCTGAGAGGCATACGGGTCTAAAGTAGTTGTGTTTTTTGGGCGTGGGGAGGGGGCCTCGACCTGCACTTTGCTACGCCAGTTTGGATGTTTTGGAAAGGTGTCTATTCAATACACTGATGGTCCTGAAAAAGGCTTAGTGCACAGTAGGATACGGCACTCAGGGACTTGTTGTTTTTTAGATATAAAGCATTTACTCCAATTTCTTTCTGAAAGTTATGAAGCTGGAGACAATCAATCCCCCCATGAAATCACTTATGTGAATGAGGCTGGCTTCAATTTGCCCAAAAGATGCCAGCAGGGATGTAATGTAATAGGAAAAAAGGCCACAGTAGGCACTGCAGGCCGGGTGGAGTGGGGGTTGGGGGAGGTGCCAGTATCACTGTGTGTGGAGCAATATCATCCAGTAGATTGCTGTTACACAAAACTCCCAAACCAGGCCATTCGGTACAGAGTGTCTAATTTCATTCTTGGATGACCTCTGTGGAGAGATTCTGCCTGAGGAAACGGGGCAGGTGAGGCCAAACATGCAAACATATGTGATTGCATGGGACAATGTGGCATCTCACCATTCCCACACAATCACAGAGTGGTTTTCAGCCTGTCCAACACTCTTTAAAGTATAGGTGCCAATAAAGGTTCTATGAAGCCATGCCACGGTTCCCTAAAGAACCTTTCAGCAGATGTTTCTGAGATGCAAAGCAGCTCATAGACCTGACTTGTTACCAGAGTTATTATAGTTTAAATTTTTTTATTAGTTTTTTTTATTTAATTTTTCATTTTGATTTTTTCAGTTTCAGTTCGTTTTAAGGGTTTAATTAATTCATTAATTATTTTCTGAAAGTAACAGTTTTTATTTAGTTTCAGTTTCAGTTTTTAGGATTATAATGAACACATCTATGGCATGTGCCCTTCCCCTAAAATCATAGCGTGGATGAAGCCCCACGAGGACAGCTGGTGAGAGAAGAACAGTGAGGGAGTGGTGGACGGTGTGTGAGTCCCTAGTGAGTCCCTACCAAGTCCCTCCTGGGCACCGCCCCTGCTCCGCAGCTTGGCCATCTGGGTTGACCGTAAGGCAAATTAAAGTGACCTCACTGTGGGACCAGAGGCAGCGCCCAGGAGGCAGGGCTCAGCGGATGGGCGCATGATATAGCATCATTTTACAGGGAGATTCACTTGAAAGAGGCCCCGAATATTCTATTGTAACTCCCATTAGGATGAAGCAATCTGTACCAGAACAATGTGCTACATACTTTGACGTCTGTGTAATTGATCGCATTACATGCAATGCTAGAAGTGATCTTCGTTTTCTACCAGACACATTTCGGCGTGGCGCTCCATGTTCCTGAACGTGTCGGCAAGCATAATGGGGAGGTTAAACATTGCGACGGCTGTCTGGCGCCTACCTCATCGCTCCAACGCAGGGGCATCCCAGCTTGTTTAAAGCTCCATATACTGAGAAGCACATTGCACGTTGTTTCATCCTAGAGAGAGTTATTAAAGAATATTCTGGGCCTCTTTTGAGTGAATCTCCCTGTATAAGGGTAGAACAACATTAAAACAACAGTTGACTGAGCTCAGCTTTTCTTATGCAGTGATTCTATTTTGTTTTAGTTTGTTTTGCAGTGGATATTATTGTTTTGATTTACTTTTAAAACTGACGTCTTAATTTTTATTACAGCTAAGCATTTTTTCACTGCTAGTTTTGTTTTAGTAATAGTTTTAATTAACTATAATATCCTGTCTGTGAGAGACTGATTGACTGACCGACTAACTAACTCACTCACATTTAGCAGTCTGAAGATTATCCACAAGGGGCACTATTAGCACTCAAATAACATGCAAAAAGAGGGTATTAGAGTTATTATTCAGTTATTATAAAAACAACCATACAAAACAAGCTGTGAAATTGTAGTGAAAGTACAGATTTAAACGTCCATCTAGGAGATGGTCTTCCGTAGTTCTTATAGTTATTGTTGTCTTGTTTTACAGAAAGAAAAAAAAACTGAAACAAAACAGTCATTGCAAATAGGGTTAAAAATCAAAAATTAAAGCTGCTTTTTTATATTGACCTTAAAGGGGTGACAATGTGGTTAAACCTACACTGTTATTAATAAAGGTTCTGTGCAGGTACATTTTTTGTTCATCAAGGTACAAACAATGTAAATGTTCCCTCAAAGGTACAACAGTGGTTTTAAGGCCTGATTGTGAACCTTAAAGAAGTTTTTCCAGGTGAAAAGTTCGTATTTGTATCTTTTCATAACCGAATGTTTTAAAACAGAACAGTAAAATAAAAGCCTGGAGACGAGACGGGGTGTGTGGAGTCAGTACAGCTTAGAACATATCATTTCAGTGGATTATGGTACAGTTATGTTCTCTGACTAAAGGTACTGAGATGTACCCTTGAGGGTCCCACCCCAGTGACAAGAGGGGAACTGCCCCAGTGACAGTTTACCACCTTTCTGAGTGTATATGGCTCATAGGTATCTATACTCTTAAAAGAGCACTCAAAGAACCCTTTGCATGTTAAATGGTTCTTTGCATCATGAAAGAGTTAGAATGTGTCGTATATGGTTCTGTATAGACCTCTTTTGGAAAGTGTTCTATATAGCACACAAAATGTTCTTCTATTGTTACAATGTCAAGCTTGTAACAATAGAAGAACCCTTTTGGGCTATATGGAAACTTTTTTAAAAAGGTTCTATACAGAACCATCCACAGCACATTCTCCTTCAGTCTGAAGAACCCTTTCCTAAGGCAAAGAACCCTTTAATCATGCAAAGCGTTCTTTGAGTGTGCATGGTTTTTACATAGAACCATTTTCTTAATAAAGAACCTTTGAAGAATCATCTTTAATAGTGCACCTTTATAGTTATATTATTTATATAGCCATAAAAATTAGTTGATCTGCATCTACAAAATAATCTGTAGTAGTTACTAATACTAATAAGTATAAAAATTAACAACTGAAAAATAAGCGTATGGGGTTAAGGGGCAAAAATGTTGAAAATAGACGTATGTTTATCTCGGCATGTCTGTCTGACATCTCTTCATGGATGGCAGCTCACCACCTGAAGCTCAATCCTAGCAAGACTGAGCTGCTTTTCATCCCTGCAACTACAGGTCCTCATCATGATCTCGCCATCTCATTCGAGAACTCCCTGATTGTTCCGTCTATAGAGGCAAGAAGTCTTGGTGTGATGCTGGATGGCCAGTTATCGTTCTCCGCTCATACCGCGAACCCTAACTCGGTCATGCAGGTTTCTCCTGCACAACATCCGGAGGATCCGACCCTTTCTCACTCGAGAGGCCACCCAGGTGCTAGTGCAGTCTCTTATCATCTCAAGGCTTGACTACTGCAACTCGCTCTTGGCTGGTCTACCCTATGCAGGCCATCAAGCCTCACCAACTCATCCAGAATGCAGCAGCACGGCTCGTCTTCAATCTCCCCAAGTTCAGCCACGTCACACCACTGCTGCGCTCCCTTCACTGGCTTCCTGTAGCTGCACGCATCAGATTTGAAACCCTAATGCTGGCCTACAAAGCCAAAATGGACCAGCCCCTCCCTACTTGATGGCAATGGTCAAATCTCGAACTGTACCACGAGCCCTTTGAACTTCGAGCACAGCTCACATTGACCCGCCATCCTTCAAGATGCGTGGAAGACAAGCATTGAGACTGTTCTCTGTGCTGGCGCCCAGGTGGTGGAACGAACTCCCACTGGCTGTCCGAACAGCAGAGTCTTTAAACGCAGACTGAAGACGCATCTCTTTGTACAGCACTTAAATGACCACTGAGTTAGGTATTCATTGTAATGTATTGTACTGCAGTTATGTATTGTGTTGTATTGTATTGCACTGCTGTGGTGACTTGTTGTTTCTAGCAGTATCTGAGCTCAGGACTGACTTTCTCTCTAACCTATTGGTAACTGGCAAAGATACTTTCTCTAGATAGACAAAGCACTTTTTGTAAGTCGCTCTGGATAAGAGCGTCTGCTAAATGCTGTAAATGTAAATGTAATAGTTTACCCTTTAACCCTTTATGGTCGACACAAAAAACTCCTTCTGCTGTATAAGCTACTCCTCCCCTTTAAGAACATGATCTAACAAAGCTGTAGGTTTTGATTCTGTTTTTCACAAACAGCCACTCCAAGCAAGAAAACACATGAATATATACTTCACACTCCATTTAGTGCATCCAACAATAAAGCCAGCATGGAGCTTGACAGGAAGTGATACAATGATAGGAAACACAGTAGCTCACAGAAAGTTCCACTCGCCAACCATTATGGGAGCAGATTTAATCAGTCAAAGGAGACAAACAGACAGACACTGAATGGATCACTATGAAGGGTTTGAGAGGGTTAGGAATCAAGGCAGCACAGCGGTGGCTTTATGAATTATTATTAGTTATTGATCGTACTGTACTGTGGTGGAGATGTGTATGCGGCGGGCTCCGGGTGTGGGGAACTGTCGGGAGTTGATGTAAGAGACCTTCCTCAGCGCCGTGTTCACCTGCTCCAAATCCTCCCCCTCCATCACCAGCACGGACTGAGCCGGGTTAAAGTGGAACTGAGAGAGAAACAGAGGACGAGACACTCAATGCATATTAAGCCCCATTAGAGCTGGAAGAGTTTTATCAGAAGAGGTGCGGTAATGTCGTTTGTAAGGGATTTGATTCTTCTGGGATAAAATATTTGTGTAATATTCCCCAAATTACCCCAAATAGCCCAGACTTAACTGCGTTAAGATTAAAACCAAACAGACAAACATCAAACAAACAGCGAAAACCTGTGAGAGGTTCTTTCAAGATGTTTCGTTTTCATTCACCCTCTGATAGGGCCATCAGAAAAAATGTTCAACTTGGCGATAAAGGAACTGTGTCATGTCAGACTCCAGTTTAGCAGCCTTGTGTTAATCAGCTATTATGAACTGACGATGCAAAAACAAAACCAAAATCAACTGTATTTTTTTTTTGTCTCAAATGATTTTGAATAATTTCACTGTAATGTCACATTTTAAGCAGAAAAGTGGACGAGAAATGTCTTTATGCAATGCATGGGCTAAAATAATGGTGTTAAGACATTTCAAGATGTTAGAGTCTTATATGCAGACGTGTGCAAAAGTTTGAGCGCCCCGATCGAATGAGATCTAGTTGATTTTCTAAGTAAAAATAAGTGAACACCTCCTCTACAGAGAAGTTATGGCACATTTTATGTGATATATTTTACTTTTTCATGTTAAATTTATGTTAAATTCAACAACAAATAAATAAATAATTAAATAAAACATCATATTTAAGTATGTTCTCTGTAGAGGATCTTAGAAAATCAACAAATAATGTTCAAACATTTGCATAAGACTGTAGTTTCTTCGCCCTGCGATGGACTGGCGACCTGTCCAGGGTGTATCCTACCTTCTGCCCAATGACCCGCGTGACTCAGAAGGATAAGCGGTTTAGAAAATGTGTGTGTGTGATTTCTTCCTGCTTATTTGCTAGAACTGAAACTGAATCTGTGAAACAAAACAGTGATTCTTACTGTAGTTTTACTGGGTCTTTAAGCAGCAGGTTTGGGCTAGAATGCTATGAAGGCTGTGTACTAAAATGTGTCTGGGCTTAATGTGTAAGTTTATTAGAAATTCTGTGAGTTGTTGGCGTGACGGCCAAACGTTTTCTGCGTCCTTGAAAATTTCCTGTTTTAATGGGTGACATTACAGTGAAATTAATGAGTGTTCATACTTCATACCTTGTTACTCCATATAATGATTATGAGATTATGAGATATTGTTGTCTTGTACTTCAGAGTTTGTGCCTCACACTTGCTTTTTGAGGCACAGAAGAGACTGTAAGTTTCTTTAAACAGTAATCTCATCATGAGAAATATTAGATGCACTGATTGGATTTAAAATCATTTCACTTGCTCAGATCTCTCGTGTGGAGTTGTGACTGTACGGAGGGGTGTGTGTGTGTATTAAACAGTCCCTCCTGAGAGCGTTTGGCAGCTGCGCCAGAGTTACACAAAAGAAGGAACAGGAAAAGAGCTTAAAATGACTGAACAGGAGAGAAAGAAAGAAAGAAAGAAAGATGAATCGATACACAGAGAGGAAACAGACACATGAAGCCTCAAGCTCCTCTACTGATCTCCCTCTCTCTCTCTCTCTCTCTCTCTCTCTTTCTCTCTCTCTCTGTGTCTCTCTGATGTCTGCTCTCATCCGATCTTAAAATCTTTCCTCGAGACTCGGAATATAAAAGAACAAAAGCCACCAAGAGAAAATGGAAAACTGTGCCTGAAGAAAGTCCCAGTGTCTCTTTCTTTCTCCGTCTCTTTCTTCTCCACTTCTCTCTACAGTGACTTTTATCTCTGGATATGCTTATATGCATACTAATTACTGACTGTATTTTATATAGGGGTGTGTATATATACATGTACTTTTTTACACACACACACACACACACACACACACACACAGACACACACACACATATATATATATACGTGTGTACATAATATATATATATATATATATACGTGTATTTTTTTTCTCTGAAGGAAGATTTTTATTAATAGAGCTGTTGAATTAATAGACATGTTGAAACTTTGCTGTGGGGATTTGATTGCATTCAACCACTAGAGCATTAGTGAGATCAGGTTGGATTGGCTGGTTAGTTCTGAATCACTTCAGCTCATCCCAAAGGTACTGGTTGGGGCTCCACCACTCCAGATAACACAGCTCCACAGCTGGGGAGCTTTAAACCCCTCTAGCCGATGCTTGGCATTGGGCATGGTGATCTGAGGCTCATGTGTGGCCGCTCCAGAGCATCCCATTCTATTGATCAGTGCTTTTCTATGGAGCTCATAAAAGCTGAGTGTGTGCAAATGAATGCCTGTGCCAGCAATGAGTGAATGAATCTTAAAGTAGATGAATTCACTCATTATAAGGGGATATTTTTGGATATATAGTGTATATAGTGTATTATATACATATATAAAAAAGAGAAAAACTTCCTTGTCTTTTCTTTACATTATTTTAAGATGCTATGCCATTTACACTGTATTCATATTTCATGGCAAATGGATCAGCAGAAGTGGTGCAAATGAATGATCTTGTTACATGAACTTACACTGAAAGTTAAGAATGTTTTTCGTTCTCCTGGAAAGTTATGAGATTTTTTCCAACAGCAACAACATAAATAGTACATATGAAAGATAATGTATATTTTTATCATACGTAGGTACTTACATATCGCTGTTGTCAGAGGAAAACCTTGTATCTCCAAAATGGTAACTTTACAGGAGAAGGAAAAAACCTACTTTACTTTTAATGTAAGTCAATGGGACCAGAACGTTGTCCAAGTAATTTTGGACCATTTCTTTTGGTCCATTCATCATGAAAACAATGTAAAGGCCAACACGCATTTTCAAATTATGTCAAAAAAAGATACAAGGTTTTCTTCCGACAGCAGCGATATCCATAATACATATGGGACAGACGTATGGCATGTCCCGACATTGAACAAAAACAAGTGCACGTGTGTGTATGTCTGTGTGTGTAAAAATACCTTTATGCCCTTGTCCATGCTCTCCAGTGAGGTGATGTCCAGTCCCTCTTTGCAGGCCTGTAGGCAGGAAATCACCTTCTGACTCTCGATCTTCCCCGGCCTCAGCGTCAGGCCGGACAGGCTGCCACGGAAATGCTGTGTAAACCGGGCCTTAGATACCTCACCTCCTAAACACACACACACACACACACACACACACACACACACACACACACATTCATAAAGATTTAAACCCATTAAACTGTAAGGGTCTGTATGTAGCCCACCCTTTGTCACTCTCATAACCACAGAACTTACACTTTAGTCTAACAGTCTAAAGATCATTACTGCAGTATTAAGCCTACAATTTAAGAGGTTAAATATTTTATGATATCTTAAAATATTTGATGAACATGCTCTGACGAGAGCATATGTAGCGCCACCTACAGTTTTTCACAACTGTTCACACACTAAATCGGAAACCTATACCAAATCTGCCTTCCACTCAGTTTGCAAATCACCCTTACCTGGTTAATACCTAGAACTTAGACTTTGAATAGCAGTGATTTTCAACTGGAAATGTGTTTTCATTGTTGTGCCTAATGTATAGAACTATGTGTGGTTAAAAAGTGGCTCATCAGATCAGCCTAGAAAATTCCCTTCATGTGGTAACAAGTAAATGAACTGGTTTTCAACCTAAATAAATACTTTGAACAGTCTCTTTCAATCAATGTAGTTTTTATTTTTTATTTTTACCTGACTTTCTCCCCAATTTAGTCGTCTCCAATTCCACCCGCTAGTTAGGACTCCCCCAATCACACGGTGCTATCAACGCTAGGAGGGTGAAGGCTCCGAGACCTGTGAAGCGCCACCGCTTCTATTCGAACTGCCGCTCACGCAACGTCACTGGACAGCCGAACGCGCTCGGAGGAAAGCGCCAACCGCCAGATCTGTTACGTCAGCTAACAGACGCCTGCGCTGACTAGCATCGCGCTGAGTGATGGGGGGAGAAGGAGGGTCTATCCTACCCGCCCAGAGAGAGCGAGGCCAGTTGTGCTCTCTCGGACTCCCGGCTACGGATGGCTGTAGCACCACCAGGGCTCGAACTCGCGATCTCCTGATGATAGGGCCAACGCTTAGACGGTTGCGCCACTCGGGAGCCCAGTGTAGTTTTTTAAGTTGAATGAAACTAGTTAAACCGCTCGTTACCATATGAAGGTTGCACTGACGAGCCGTTTTTACAGCCTACATAAGCCTGAAATGAATCATATAATTGTTAACTGTGTTGAAATTGTGGAACAGTGTTGCAAACCACAATAGTAACTCTACCGTACTGACTCTAAAACAGACTTGCTGCTCTAATTTCATTACATCGCTCACAGTGACAGTGTCCTTCACTCTTCACTGCTGAGAGAGGTGTATTACCTTTCCTCTATTCTCCCTCATTCCTCCTTTAAACGTCTTTTCTCTGTCCATTCTCTTCTGTCAATCCCTCAGAGTTGATCAGAGTTCAATAAAATCATATATTTTCTCTCTCTCTCTCTCTCTCTCTCTCTCTCTGATGTTATATGCACTCTCAAACACAAAGAGATGAGAGGCTTGAGTGAGTGCTTTATCAAGGGCTATTTAAAGAGGCTTAACTGTCCTTTAGAGCGGAGTCTGTGCTGCTCTCTGCACTCGTTTCTCTATTAGAGGTGGTAATCTTTTCTTCCAGCCACCTTCTTGCCCACCCAACCATCCGCATTACAAAAGCACAGCTGTCACAGCTGCACAACACCAAGACTCCTGACCACACATAAACGCATTCCTTATTTAAATCTAACAACCTGTTCGGTTCAACAAAAGGTAAATTCACCGAACACAGATTGTTATTGACAGATCAACAGGCAGGGCTGCAGTGGGACGTGTTTTCGGTCCTGGAGTTACATGACGCTGATGTGTCAGCCAGTACCAGATTAACACCATCAGGCTGAATTTCTCAGGCTGATGTTAGCATCTAATTTGAATCTCCATTCCACCTTAAATAGTGCACGCGCTAGCTACCTCTACTTGCTAGCACCCATACAGGCATCTGAATGTAACTGCTACATCATTTAGGGGGAAACGGGACATGAGAATAATCTAATATCTATCCAGGTGGGGGCTCGTTTAACCCCTCACATGACCAGGCAAGTTTATTTATATAGCACCTCATTCAAAGTGCTTTCAAATAAGAAAATACGGAGACATTTAAAAAGTGAAGTGAGGGAGAGTAGAAATGAAAATGTCATGCTTTCGGGTTCTCCTCCCTTGCCTAACACTCTCCAGGACTCCATTTCCCATGATTCCAATCCCGATGATGTCGCTCCTTCCACCAATCACACACATCTGCCTCGTTCTCAGTCACCCGAGTATTAACGCAACTCACCTGTGTTTGTTTGCCTCGGACTTTAAAAGGACTCCGGTTTGTCCTCCTCATTTTGAGGTATTGCCATTCACTGGTTTACTGAGCGTTTCTTTACTGTGTTTCCTGACTTGTGTTTTTGAACTGTGCCTGTTTTTAGATATTGCTCTTTTGTGTTTGCCCTTTTGCTCTGGTTGCTTGTATTTTTGTATTTTCCGGTTTTTGACTTTTTGCCTGGCTTTTTGGATTCTGATTTTGGATTTGCCCTGAGTCTGTCTTTTCATCTGACTGTTCTCTCATTAAATCAACTCCTGTTTTTAAGATCTGCGAGCGTCTTTCTGTTCTTGAGTAGCGTTACAGAAAAACGTGATGAAAACATGATTAAAATACTACATTTAACAGAGAAAATCATTAATTAAAAACTCAAGTTGTAAATTAAATTAGATATAATTAAGTGCTGTTATATGAGGGAGAATTGCTAGAAAACCTTACAGTGATTTAAACTGAGCTGAAAGCTGCTAAAATAGGAACAGATTTACAGATTTAACACTTGGGCAATGTTAAAAGAGGGAGTCATATCAGTTTCACTGATTTATTTATTTATTTTACTTATTTTACTTAAATGCACATATTTATAGGTCTGGTAATATTAAAAGCCTTTTTTTTCATTTTTAGATTTACAGTAAATTTCTGGTTACTGAGTTGCATTACTTTGACAGCTGTTATATACAAATACAAGAGATTACTGTACTTTAATTAGTTTATTACTGTAAGTGTAGAGCAGAATAACAACTATATCATGGTAATCTTGTGGTGCAGGGGACTATGAAGTCACAATATACAGTTATTTTAGTGTTATTTATTATTAATATGGTACAGTCAATGACTCTGAAAGTAGCCAGAATGCAGTCATTCTGCAGTCAAGTGTTCCACAGTGTATGACTGATATTGAAATTTACCAAAATTTCCACTTGGGGATTTATCTACTCTACCATTCCAATGTTTAGGATCACTTGTCATATTAATAATTTTAGTCATTTATGTAAACTACTAATTTATTCTTTTTAAATACTAGACCAGATGTTTTATTCAATATTTCAAATATTGTGTAAATACCAAAAAATATTATAAAGTAAATGAATATATTGTAATTATTCACATTTTTTGCTAGGTTACATGAAAAAAGGTGCTGTTTAAATTTGATTGATTCAAATTAGTCTCACATGAATGAAATACTTTATGTTTCCAAAGTCACACCACATTTCATTCTAACCCCACCCTGTCACCACCCTCTGACCTTGCCAGCAGGCCCCAACAGTGAGCTGGACATCTATCTGAGAGGAGTGGATCGGCCAATCATCCGTCACCAGGTAGGGGTCATACGTCACACCATCCACATATAGGGTGACCACTGGAAACTCTACGTTAATGACATAGTAGTGCCACTCCTTATCACAGATCTGAGAGAGAGAGAGAGAGAGAGAGAGAGAGAACATTACACAACAGGACACAATGACAGTAACAACATGATAATATCTATTAGCAGGTCTTGCTATTACATTATCATTAGGTGAATTGGAAGAGTATTACTACTACCAGGTTCAGCCAATTATAAAAGGCCATTCACTCCACAATTATTACTGTCAGACTGTAAAACTACACACACTGCAGATTCATACTGGATTAAAATTACTCCACAATTATTACTGTCAGACTGTAAAACTACACACACTGCAGATTCACACTGGATTAAAATCACTCCACAATTATTACTGTCAGACTGTAAAACTACACACACTGCAGATTCATACCGGATTAAAATCACTCCACAATTATTACTGTCAGACTGTAAAACTACACACACTGCAGATTCATACCGGATTAAAATCACTCCACAATTATTACTGTCAGACTGTAAAACTACACACACTGCAGATTCATACTGGATTAAAATCACTCCACAATTATTACTGTCAGACTGTAAAACTACACACACTGCAGATTCATACTGGATTAAAATCACTCCACAATTATTACTGTCAGACTGTAAAACTACACACACTGCAGATTCATACTGGATTAAAATCGCTCCACAATTATTACTGTCAGACTGTAAAACTACACACACTGCAGATTCATACTGGATTAAAATCCCTCCACAATTATTACTGTCAGACTGTAAAACTACACACTGCAGATTCATACTGGATTAAAATCCCTCCACAGTAACTACTGCGGAGATGGAGAGAGGGGATTGTTGCTATTTCTTCAACCAAAGACAGATCAAAGATCTGAATGTGTGGAAGAGCACATTACCAACCCAGAGCAGAGCATTTCCAGCAGAATTGTTAAACTAAATCTTTTGCTGCCCTTGAATCTAGCATCAGCGCTCCTATGGTGAGTGATTTAGCAGCCAGGCGATGCTGGAGAAGCCAGCCAACATGAGACCCCCGAATACCAGTGGGCATTTCCCATGCTGGCTGTTATGATCAATAATAACTTCAATTTCTAAGCATTAAAAAAGTTTCTCTATTCCAAACAGTGTGGGCTACACTGAGATGCAGAGTGTTTGCTGATGTGCTGGCTGGCCTGAATATCTGTTGACCTGACCTGGAAAAGAGGACAAAACTGGCAAGTGATTTAAACATTTCTAAGTTTGGAGCTGAAAGATACAGAAAATTCAACAAGCGTCCAACTGAGAGTGTTTCACGCCGAGTTTATAGAGTTTCTGATCAGAGTGTGACACATACCGCATCAGCAGTGTGTGATATAAACCACCACACCAGGGTCATGCATTTAAGGCTCCTCCAGCTGAGCCTGTCCTCCTCCTAACAGTCATAAGCTAATGATATTCGATTAATCTTCCCTTAGCCTCACAGTGTACACACCTCGAAACCCCTCATTTTACATTTAATCACTATTAGCTAATTGAAATAATTGGAGAAATTGTGCTGAAAGTGCAGATTCAACACTTTCAATCCACACCAGATCTTGTTTTGCATAAATAAAAGTAGTCTTTACATTTGTTGCCACATTTTTGGCATTTTTAAAAATGCTAAAGGATACAGCAAAATGGCAATAATAAGCAATAATATATTAAAATACATTAATTTCCTTAGATTTATGCGTGTGTGGCAATATTGCCCTCATTCATTTGCATATTGTGTAGGTCCCATGTGTCAAACATAAGGCCCATGGGCAAAGCCAGGCCCATGGCACAATCCTATTTGGCCTGAAAAATGATATAATTTGATGTTAATAGTAGCCCATTTCATTATGAGGTGCACTACAGTTCCCAGCATGCACTGCAACATAATGTGTGCTCCCACCCCCTCCCAACAACGGTCAACAATGAGACAGCACCACAAAAACAAAACAGATGTCAGGTGTCTAGTTCAAGCTAATGTGGTCTGTTATTTTATTTAAAACATTTTTTTTTAAATTTAAAATTATTTTTGAATCATTCAGGTATTTTTTGCCATTGTATTTTTGGCATATTTTGAATAAACAATGGCCAGTTGGGGTCAAATGTTGAGTAAAAATGAAATAAAAACACATCTGGCCCACAGGTTTGTAGAGATTGTTTAATATGACCCTTTTAATGGTTGAGTTTGACACCATTGGTGTCGGCTATTGCCTTAAGAAAGAGCTCTATAGTAACATTACAGTAATTTCTACAGGATATTACAGTAAATTCCAACAAACACTATCGTTTACAATAGGGTACTATACACATATCATAGATTACTATAAGACAGCACTACAGGAGTTTAAACACAGTATGTTTGCTGTATGTGTGTGTGTGTGTGTGTGTGTGTGTGTGTGTGTGTACAGTTTGATTGCACTTTATGTGCTATGCTGCTGCTGTTACTTCTAAATTTCCCTCCGGGGAATTAAAAAAATATCTCTCTCTCTCCTAATTCCCCCTTTAAGGAAGAATCGATGGGTGGTCTCGGTATCATTGGTTAAAGTCTCGCCTGACCCCCATAATCACCCACTGCAAATGTTTGCCCATTTAAGCTGAACCCCTTTAGCTATTCCGCTAGCATTTCCAGATGAGACAGAGCATAAATATAAGCACACATTACCTTCAAACGACTTCAGACTCTTTAAATATTAACGCTAAAGTCTTCAGTCCACGTCAGGGCTTGTATGTAGTATAAAAGTAAAAAAAACTGTGACCTCATCTATTCCATTCATTTATGTTTAGGATAAAAAATTATAGCATATAATAATACATCATTGCTGTCAGAACAAAGCCTCGTTTTTCCAAATGAACTCTTCAAAACTTATAAGGGAGTATATATATGTATACACACATATATATATATATATATATATATATATATATATATATATTTTATAATGGAATTTTGGGATATTTTTTGCAGGACAGCAACATTACATATTGAATTATATAATACAATTTGATAAATGATGTGATGTATAATAATAAATACAAAAATAAATAAAGTACACAGAGTGAAACACAACTAGAGAGAGAAAGAGATAGATAGAGAGAGAGAGAGAGAAAGAGAGAGAGAGAGAGAGAGAGAGAGAGAGAGAGAGAGAGAGTCTTAACATTACAATAGATAGATAGATAGATAGATAGATAGCCAATCATGTGGCAGCAGTGCATAAAATCATGCATATACAGACCTGCAGCTTCAGATAATGTTCACATTAAATGTCAGAATGGGGGAAAAATGATTTCGACCGTGATGTGATTGTCACAGACGAGCTATTTCTATAACTGCGGATCTGAGTTTTTCACAGATAACAGTCACTAGAGTTACTCAGAATGGTGCAATAAAGAAAATACCCAGTGAGCAACAGTTCTACTGACAGAAACACCTAACTAATGAGAGAGGTCAGTCGATTTCTCACAGGTGGTAGGGTCTTTGGGAATTTGGCACCAACAGCATGAATCTTTGGACCCAATCTGTCTTGTGTCAACAGTCCAGGCTGGTGGAGGTGGTGTAATGGTGTAGGGTTTTTTTTTTTTCTGGCACAGTTTTAACCAGCTAATACCAGTCAGTCATCGCTTGAATGCCACAGCCTGTTTGAGTCTTGTTGCTGAACATGTGAATCCCTTCATGGTCACAATTTACCATCTTCTAATGGCTACTTCCAGTATGATAACGCACCATGTCACAAAGCAAAAGTCGCCAAACTGGTTTCATGGACATGACGATGAGTTCAGTGTTCTTCAGTGGCCTTTAAAGTCACCGGGTCTGAATCTAATAGAACACCTTTGGGACGTTGTAGAACAGGAGACTCACATCATTAAAGGTCACCTGAAAAATCTGCAGGAATTGCATGATGCAGTCATATAAATATAGACCAGAATCTCAGGGGAATGTTTATAATATCTTGTGGAATTCATGCCACAAAAAAGTGAGGCTCTTTTAAGACCAAACGGAGGCCCTACTTAGCACTCGGTGAGTGTAGATAGACATAGAGAGGTAAAGAGAATAGAAGGTAGAAGTAGAGAGTGAGACAGATGTAAAAAGAGAGACAAAGAGGTAGAGATACAGAGAGGCTGATAGAGAGACTAAGAAAAAGAGAAACGGAGAGAGAGACAGAGGATAGGGTGAGGAGGGTGAGGGACACTGTGATGTAGAGGAGAAAAAAGAGTGCAGAGACAGTGATGCGTGGCCTCCACTACAGTTACTTCAGCTGAGCAAGAAGAGAAAGAGAGAGAGAGAGAAGAAGGAGAGAAAACAGAGAGTAGGTGGAGTCAGCAGAGCACTTTGTAGAGAGATTGATGAGATGTGGGGACAAGGTGACTCTGCAGAGGAGAAAAAAGAGAGAGAAAGTGTAAAAATGAAAAGAACAAAAGCCATCCTGCCCTGATACACGATACTGAAATCTATGGGAGAAAAAAAAAGGATGTGAAAATAGAAATGAGTGTGTGGATTAACTGAGTTCTTCTCTGTATCTCTGTATCACTGCGTCGCTGCACAAAAAAACCCTTGTGCTGCTAATAGAATAATCTTTCTCATGCTGATCATATGGACCACTGAATGCACTGACGAAGTAAGAACGTTTTTTTGTTTAAACTGAGTGGCTGACAACTTATGTTCTTAACTAAAACTAGGCTGGTCAGCTAGCTAACAGGCCAAAAGGTAGCAAACATGCAAAACAACTCCATCATTAATATCAAAGACTTGAATTAAAGTACTTACGGTATAATTAACTGTAAAACGACAGTATAAAGTCTAAAAATGTCATTTGAATGGATAACACACTTCAAATCTTCGTGTTTCAGTCAGGGATCTGAATCCCAAATGGCTCTGTACTCCCTAAATAGTGTGCCAGCTATGAAAGTTTAGAAATTCTAGCCTCTACAGCCAAGTAGTGCTTAATTTATCGAGTCTGGATGTGTCTGAATCTCAAATGAATATTTCTCAGCAATATTGTGCACTGTTGGGCTGCAGTATCCAGTATTTGAATTCCT